CTTTCCTGCCCAGGATGGCTCTCAACTATGATCCTCAGATCTCAGCCTCCTGAGTAGCTAGGATTACAGGCACGAGCCACTAGTGCCTGGTCTGATTTGTGTGTGTGTGTGAATGTATCCAAAGTTCATGGTTAAAGTGGCTCATACTTGTAATCCTATTTGGAAGGTAGAGGTAGAAGGATCATGGTCTGAGGATTGCCAGAGCAAAAGTACAAGACCCTATCTGAAAAACAAACAAAAATAGGGGCTGGGAAGGTGGCTCAGTGGTAAAGCTCTTGCCTTGCATGCCTGAGGCCCTGGGTTCGATTCCTCAGCACCACATAAGAAAAAAGAAAAAAGCCGGAAGTGGCGCTGTGGCTCAAGTGGTAGAGTGCTAGCCTTGAGCTGAAGAGCTGAGGGACAGCGCCCAGGCCCAGAGTTCAGACCCCACGACCGGACCCCCAAAAAAAAAAAAAAATATGGGAGATACTTTTGCCTTTTTTTTTTTTCTTCCTAAGCTCAGGATTGAATCCAGGACCTCTCTCATGGTAAACAAAGGCTCTACCTTGGCAGATAACTGACTGAGGCCAGAAGTAGTAATCTCTTAGGCAAATCACAAATCATCAGGATGTTTCCATTGACAGGCTCAAACCTTCCCTGAATCTGGAACAGCTGGACTTCCCACTGTAAACTTTGAGAACATTGCTGACCCCTTGTGTTGGAGGCCTGTCAGCAAGAGAGCCTCTCTGCACTGCAGTCAGTGTGAGTGTGGAGGAGGACTTCAAAAAGGACAGCCAATCAGGATGTCAAAAGGCAATATAGGCTAGGAAGATGACTCAGTGATAGAGTGCTTGCCTTGCATGCATGAGGCCCTGGGTTTGATTCCTCAGCACCACATAAGCAGAAAAAGCCAGAAGTGGTGCTGTGGCTCAAGTGGTAGAGCACTAGACTTGAGCTGAAGAGCTGAGGGACAGAACCCAGGCCAGCCCCACAACTAAAAATAAGTTTTAAAAGGCAGTATACATGCCAAGAGGAATAATTTTTGTTTTGTTTTGGTTATTTTTTTTTTGGCCAGTCCTGGAGCTTGAACTCAGGGCCATTATAAGAGCCATATGTGTATATATGTATATATATATATATATGCTTTTGTCAGTAGTGGGGCCTGGACTCTGGGCCTGGGCGCTGCCCTTCAGATCTTCAGCTCAAGGCTAGCGCTCTACCACCACTTGATCCACAGCGCTACCTCCAGCTTTTTCTGCTTATGTGGTGCTGAGGAATTGAACCCAGGGCCTATGTATGCAAGGCAAGTACTCTACCACTGTGCCACCTTCCCAGCCAAGAGCCATATTTTTTTTTTTTTTTTTTTGGGTCCAGTTGTGGGGCCTGAACTCTAGGCCTGGGCGCTGTCCCTCAGCTCTTCAGCTCAAGGCTAGCGCTCTACCACTTGAGCCACAGTGCCACTTCCGGCTTTTTTCTTTTTGCTTATGTGGTGCTGAGGAATCGAACCCAGGGCCTCATGCATGCAAGGCAAGCGCTCTACCACTGAGCCACCTTCCCAGCCCAAGAGCCATATTTTTAACTTGGATTTTTACAATTTGGTGAAATGTGAGATGTTTCTCCAGTTTCTAAAAATCTTTACTTCCAGGACCAGACAGAATGGAAGCAACTGTGGGGTGCAACTTTTTGGAAATACTGACAGCTTTAACTTACATACTGGTGTTGAAAAGCATTTTGCAAGGGGAGGCAAAGCCTTCTTTGAATTTAGTAATGGATTTTTAAAAAAAGCTTGGAGAGGAAGGTGATTGAAAGGCTGTAGGCAAAATAAGTCTAAGTTTGTTTATTCTATAGTGATTTCAATTATCCATCATTCAGTGCAATAAGAAACAACATCAGGAGTCTTCTATTTTGCTAAAGATGACCTTTCCTTGACTGCAAAAGGTCTTCTCTAGTAAAATGTCTAACAATTAAAGTTAACAAGTCCAACTCTTTTCCGGGAACAACTTGTTCAGATCACCCAGTTTCTTGAAAAACCACCCACCTAGATAGAATACCTACTTTCCCACACTCAGAATAGAGACAAAACACTGAAACATTGGTATTGTTTTAAATGATTAGATTTCATTTAACAATCCCTTTGGGTGCTTATTCGAGCTTATTTATGCTTCAGTCCCAGTATTTTGAGAAATGCAGGAATTTTCACCAAAATATTAGCCTGACCTAAGAATTTTGAAAGGTTAGCTGCCTTAGTGTTATTTCAACCTTTAGTTTCCAAAGACATTTTAAAAGTATCAAACTATGTACAGGAAACACAGTTTAAAAGCCATTTAATAACTGTAATTGCATAGAATTTTCTCACTTTTCAACTTATTTTTCTGAATGAATACCAAATTTATGGAACAAAATATTTCAAATGGCCCCAGGAAGAGTTGTTAAATGGTAGATTAGCACCAATGCAAAACATTTTTTCAGTATTAAGGAAGAAAGAGGAATGTATCATCTCCATTAGAAAGAAAGGAAAACGAGGCTTCAACTGATGATGACAACATAACCCACCACTGAAGGCCATACAGCTGTAGCTGTGAGTGTCCTGTGGGGTACAGCAAACCTAGACTCTTATAAAGGAAGGAAAACTGAATATATTGGTATGATTGATGACAAAACGTTTCACTGACGCTGTAGTTTTGTGATGCTGGTTGGTTGGTTTTTGTGCTGGTATTGAGGCTTGAACTCAGGGCCTGGGTGCTATCCCTGAGCTAGTCCTCTACCAAAGCTACAACTCTACTTCTAGCCGTGTGTGTGTGTGTGTGTGTGTGTGTGTGTGTGTGTGTGTGGGTGTGTGTGTGTGCATGTGTGTAATTGGAGAGAAGACTTTTATGGGCTTTCTTGCCCAGGTTGACTCTGAACTGTGATCTTTGGATCTCAGCCTCCTGAGTAGCTAGGATTACAAGTGTGAGCCACCAGTACCTGGCCTGATGTTATAAGTAGCTCAGGTTGGCTTCAAGGTCATTAGTCTCTTGCTTCCCCTCCCAAATGCTTAGGATAACAGGCATGTACCTCCACACCTGGCCCATTGATAGTGGTCTTAGGAAATTTTAAAGACAACCACAATTAAGGACTCTAGATTCAGATAAGTCCCTTAAGGACCCAAAACAGTCTGAATTTTTCTGAGGAAAATTTACTTCATGAGCAGGGAGACAGGGAAAAATCTTACTATGGCTTAGAAAACAAACAGCAATTCCCTATACGAATTGAAAAGATGTATTAAAAAGAATTTTTTTTTTGGTCGGTCATGGGGCTTGAACTCTGGGCCTGGGCACTGTCCCTGAGCTCTTCAGCTCAAGGTGAGCACTCTATTACTTGAGCCATAGCACCACTTCTGGTTTTCTGGTGGCTTACTGGAGATGAAGAGTCTCATGGACTTTCCTGCCTGGGTTGGCTTTGAACTGGGATCCTCAGATCTCAGCCTCCTGAGTAGCTAGGATTATAGGCATGAGCCACTGGTGCTCAGCTTCAAACAAATTTCAAATAAGCTCCAAAGTAGAATCAACCCAAATGTTAATCAAATAAATGGATAAATAAAATGTAGTAACTATACAATGGGATATTATCCAGCTATAAAAAGGAACCAAAGCTGGGTGCTGGTGGCTCACATCTGTAATCACAGTACTTAGGAGGCTGAAATCAGAGGAGTGTGATTCAAAGCCATTCTGGGCAGAATAGTCTGCAAGACTTCACCTTCCATTAATAAGTGAAATATGGGACTGGAGTTATAGCTCAAGTGGAAGAGCATCAGCTGAGCAAGCAAAGCTGAGCAAGTATAAGGCCATGAGTTCAACCCCCAGTACCAGTGCAAATAAAAATGAAACAAGGGGGCTGGGAAGGTGGCTCAGTGGTAGAACGCTTGCCTTGTATGCATGAGGCCCTGGGTTCGATTCCTCAGCACCACATAAGCAGAAAAAAAAAGCCGGAAGTGGCGCTGTGGCTCAAGTGGTAGAACGCTAGCCTTGAGCTGAAGAGCTGAGGGATAGCGCCCAGGCCCAGAGTTCAGGCCCACGACTGGATCCAAAAAAAATAAAAAATAAAAAGAAATAAAAATGAAACAAAATATACAAACTCCCTAAGTATCAAGTATTGAAACATGCTACAATGTGGATTAACTCTGAAAATATTGTGCTAAGTGGAAGAAGTTAGACACACAGCAAGGTTACATATCATATTATTCCATTTATATCATATAGCTCAAATACAGAAACAGTAAATTTCTGGTTTCTGGAGGGCTGGGAAAAGGAAATAATTGCTTAGTTGGAAGGTAAAAGGAATGTTTTGGAACTATAGGCAGCAGGTGAATGTACCAACTGCCACTCAACTATCTACTTAATAGTACGTTTTACATTAATGTAAATTCCATTACCAGTTAAAAATCAAGAAAAATGAAATTATGGTAAATACCTGCAAAGCCCTGGATGATAGCAGGCAATCTGCTTTTTTTTTCTTCTTTTTTTTTTTTTGGTGGTCATGGGGCTTGAAATCTGGGCCTGATGCTGTCCTTCAGCTCTTCAGCTCAAGACTAGCGCTCTACCACTTGAGCCATAGCACCACTTCTGGTTTTCTGGTAGTTTATTGGAGAAAAGAGTCTCGTGGACTTTCCTTCCCTGGCTGGCTTTGAACTGTGATCCTCAAATTTTAGCCTCCTAAGTAGCTAGGATTACAGGTGTGAGCCACCGGCGCCGGGCTGCTTTTTCTTGGTTTGTCACAAATTATGTTTGTTTTTGATTATCACAAGCTAATATATATATAGAACCCATCAGCTAGACACAGTGGTGTGCCTGTACTTACAGCCTCTTGTAAGGCTGAAGCAGGAGGATTGCTTAAGCCCAGGAGTTTAAGGCCAGCCTGGGTCACATAGAGAGATCCTGTCTCAACAAAAAACAAGAACCGTAACTATTCCAAATAAGGCATTAATATAGTTCAGGTCCCCTAATCTGTCCAGTTGGCAAAGCACCTAATAGAATTTAAGTATATAAGAAGCATCAAAAATGTTTTTAATTTGTATAAAGTGTAAAGAAAGAATACTGAGAAACACATTTTGGAAGACAGAATGACCAAACCCTAGGAAAAAACCAATGTACATGCACAGGGACAGGTCTGAACATACATCATGTACAGAGATGTCAACACTCTGGAGAGAAGCTTGTTTTTCCTCATAACTTATTTTATGCTTCTCCACAAACTGAAGAACAGATGCAGCTCACTGTTGCCACCCTCTGAGTCTGGCAGGAGGTCATTCTGGGAGGGCCTGAACTGCCACTTCCTATTGCTTCCACAGTGAAACAGCACAAGAGGTTAAGTTACTTCAGGAGATTCTCAACAGGGATCTCATTGTTCCAAGTTAGAAATTCAGAGACACAAGGGCCCCATTCATGGCAGGGCTCACAGGCTAGGGAATAGTCTCTTAGTGCCCAGTCAATGCTGGGTTAGGACTCAGTTTTCATAGACACTAACTTGCACAAGTACAAGTTCATTATTTTTCAAAAATGGTACCAAGCGGGAGAGAGAAAGAGAGAGAACTCAGGGGGTAATAAACTGTAAGGACCCATGAGTCTTGTCCTTGTTCCAAGCTCTGTCTGATGTGTCTTCAGCAAATCACTTGCTCTTTCTAAATCGTTCCTTGTTTGTATTAAAATGATTTCTAACATCACTGATGCTCTGAAACTATGAGCAACAGGAGGGCTAGTGAAGTTGCTGATAGAAATCAGTTATGAATGGAAAAGAATCAATAACTCACATCTTTTTATTACCTATCAGCACTTAAAACCAAAAAGCCTGGGCAGAACCCAGTGCTTGGGAGGCTGAGGCTTCACTGTCACCGATTTAGGCTGGCATGGGCTACACAGTGAGTTTGAAGCCACTTTAGGCTACAGAGTGAGACACTCCTGCCCACCTCCCTCCAAAAAAATTATTCCCCAAATAAATGGGAAGAGACCTCCAAAACCAAACCTATATCCCTCTCCCCAAAGCCAAAGAGCTTTAGTAGAGGCAGAAGTCTATGTTCTCTGTTGAGCAAACAAATCATAATGAATCAAGTCCAATGAGTCTTAGGTCCAGCGTCACTCAGCAAGGAGCCCTGCACAGAGAGAGGTGAGGAAGACCATAAAGAGCAGCCATAGTACGTCTGTCTCCATGTTACCTAGTCCCAAGATGCAAATGTGCTTTCAGAGTATCTGTTTCTTTGCAGTGACTCAGAATCCTCAGAACACACCACCATTTACAGGAGGAATGTGTTCAGTGTACCAGCTCCCATATTTGTTACTTTTGGGCTTTTTCCATCTCAAAACTGGCCAGAGCAAGGACTTTGTCTCCAGAGCCTAAGGAAAAAAACATAGTAAGTTTTTTTTTTTTTTTTTTTTCAAATGCATGTACAATTCTAAGTAAAGGTAGGTTAATTCTAGGTATAGATATTGAAACAAAAATCAGAATTAGTAGGGAGGCAGGGGGAGGATGGGAAGGGATGGGAAGGGGAAACAAAGGAGGAGGCTACAATGTTGTTAAGAAATGTACTCAGGGGCTGGGAAGGTGGCTCAGTGGTAGAGCACTTGCCTCGCGTGCCTGAGGCCCTGGGTTCGATTCCTCAGCACCACATAAGCAAAATGAAAAAGCCGGAAGTGGCGCTGTGGCTCCAGTGGTAGAGCGCTAGCCTTGAGCTGAAGAGCTGAGGGACAGCGCCCAGCCCAGCGTTCAGGCCCCACGACCGGACCCAAAAAAAAAAAAAAAAAAAGAAATGTACTCATTATCTTACCCATGTAATTGTAACCCCTCTGTACAGTATTTTCACAATTTAAAAAAAAATCAGAATTAGGGGCTAGGAAGGTGGCTCAGTGGTAGAGCACTTGCCTTGCATGCATGAGACCCTGGGTTCTATTCCTCAGCACCACATAAGCAAAAAGAAAAAAGCCGGAAGTGGCACTGTGGCTCAAGTGGTAGAATGCTAGCCTTGAGCTGAAGAGCTAAGGGACAGCGCCCAGGCCCAGAATACAGGCGCCATGACCGGACCCAAAAAAAAAAATGTTTAAGGGACAGTGGCCAGGCCCTGAGTTCAAGCCCCAGTACTGGCACATGCCCATACACATATAAACACACACAAGAAAGTAATTGTGGAGTCTCTCAAAGGTTTATCTCAACCATGCTCTTTGTCTATGAAGCTGCAATACATGCCCAGTTTTTAGATCTATGACAACAAGGGGCTGATGGGTGGTGATATGTGTTTAGCACGCATGAGACTCTGATTCAATCATCAGTTCCATAAAAACAAACAAACAAACAAAAAGACAACAACAGAAATTAGGTCTGGAGGTACGGCTCAAATGATACTGCATTTGCCTATCAAGTTTGCCTGGATTCAAACCCCAGTACCACCAATAAAAAAGCTGTGTTTAGGCCGGTCACTGGTGGTTCATGCCTGTAATCCTAGCTACTCAGGAGGCTGAGATCTGAGGATCACGATTCAAAGCCAGCCAGGCAGGAAAGGCCATGAGACTCTTATCTCCAATGAACCACCAGAAAACCAGAAGTGGTGCTGTGACTCAAGTGGTAGAGCTCTTTCCTTGAGCTGAAGAGCTGAGGGACAGTGCCGGGCCCAGAGTTCAAGCCCCATCATGACTGACAAAACAAAACAAAACAAAAAACAAAAAAAACTCACACACCATGAGACTAAGACTAAAGGAGGAAACACTTAGGGAGAAACACAAAGGTGTAATGCTTCTGTGCCTCTAATTGTGTAATATTTATCAAAATGAAACCCAGAAAATGGAAACAAGGACTTTGTTTTCTTTTTCTTTTCTGTTTTGTTGGTTCATTTTTCCACCTTTGGGGAGCCCAAAAATGGAGGGACATAGGGTGAATGAATGCAGCAGTGGTACTCAGTAGAAACTATGTTAAAAGTGAACTGTAACAACTTGTGGATAGAGATGGGAGGGGAAAACTAGTAGCGAACAAAGTAAGGAGTGACACCTTCCAGAGAGAAATGTACTCATTACCTGACTTAAGTGACGATGACCCTTCTGTACATCACCTTTATAACACTTTTTTAAAAAAGGAGGCATAGAAGTAGGTCATTTCTTTCTTTATTTTTTTTTTTTTTGGGTCTGGTCATGGGGCCTGAACTCTGGGCCTGGGCGCTGTCCCTCAGCTCTTCTGCTCAAGGATAGCGCTCTACCACTTGAGCCACAGTGCCACTTCCGGCTTTTTTCTTTTTGCTTATGTGGTGCTGAGGAATTGAACCCAGGGCCTCAGGCATGCAAGGCAAGCACTCTACCACTAAGCCACCTTCCCAGCCGAAGTAGGTCATTTCTTTCACAACCGTTTTTACTTTTTAAATGTCATGAACATAGATCGATGTTAGGTATATAACCAAACTGTAGAATACTATATAAAGGAATACTATCCAGTAATGGAAAGGAATGAGCTACTGCTTCATGAGCATATTGAATAAAATTTACAAAAGAAGGAAAAGGGAAGAACCAATCATGAGAGCACTCACCAAGGTCTGTTGAGACTTTCTCAAACTGGCTCAGGACAGCACTAGCATTTACTGACAAGAAGGTCTCATCATCTGCAGTCAGCTAGAAAAGGGTTCGAATGTCACAAGTGGCTTCTTGAATCATACTTAAGAAGATCTGCAGGCTACAAACTATATCATAGCTCAAGAAGTTCTATAACAAATACCAACTGTTTCATATGTATGATACATTAAATATAGTACCTTCTCTCCAAGTTTCCTGAGAGCCGTTAGTATCTCCACTTTCTGTTGAGTATATAGGTCTTTTTCCAGTTTTCCTACCATCAGATCTCTATCCATCTATAATAGATAAATGAACACAAGGCATATGTAAGGGAAAAACACTGCATAAAAATCAGTGTTTCAGACCTACTTTTTTAAAGAACCCATGTATAATATTAATAATATTTAATAGTATAACTATAGAAATAACCCAAAGGAACATTGAGAGCAACAATATGTATAATTTTAATAAATATAATGCTGGACATAATCACTGTTGGTTATAAACTCCACTGAAAGTAGATCAATAGCTTTCTTTGAAAAGAAACCATAATCCAAGAAATTATTAATACTTTTTTTTGTACCATACTGGGGCTTGAACTCAGGACTTGACGCTCTCACACTTAGCTTTTTAGATCAAGGGTGGCGCTATAGTTAAACCATATTATACTTCTAGTTTTTTGCTGGTTATTTACAGATAAGAGTCAATGTTTTTTCTGCTGAAGCTGGCTTTGAATCTCAATCCTCAGATCTCAGCCTCATGGGTAGCTAGGATTATAGGCAGAAGCCTCAGCACCTGGCTTTATAACTTTTTTTTTTCCCTAATTACAGTTCATTCTACACATTTGAATGAGATAATTAGCATTAGATTCCTAAAAGTTGTGTTAAATAACATCTCTTCACCAGAAACACTAATGTATAATCAGTGCATTAATACTATTCTAAATGTTTTAACAAATTTTTTTAATCCTGGGTACCAGATGCTTACAATGGTAATTCTCGCTATTTAAGAGGCTGAAATCTGAGGATCATGGTTTGAAGACAACCCAGGCAGGAAAGTCGTGAGTGTCTTATCTCTAAGTACCAAAAAGGCCAGAAGTGCAGTAATTAATAACAGTGCTGTGGATCAAACTCTGGACCTTGTACATGCTGGGCAAGTGCTCCATTACTGAACTATTGCCAAGCTTATTTTCATAATAATTAATTATTGAGACAGGGTCTCCTATGGTATCTTGGCTAGCCTCAAACTTCTGGGCTCAAGTGGTCTTTCTGCCTCTGCCTTCCAAGTAGCTGTAACTATAGGCACACTATTGTACCTAGCTTTTAAGTGCTTTACATATATGACTTCATTAAATCCTCACAACAACTACAAGAGGTAGGGTCTACCATGATCACCTTTCTAAAGACAGACAAGTTGCTGGGAAGGTGGCTCAGTGGTAGAGTAGATGCATGAGGCCCTGGGTTTGACTCCTCAGCACCACATAAGCAGAAAAAGCCAGAAGTGGCGCTGTGGCTCAAGTGGTAGAGCACTAGCCTTGAGCTGCAGAGCTCAGGGATAGAGCTCAGGCCCAGAGTTCACGTCCCACGATGGACAGAAAAAAAAAAAAATTAGAGCTCTTTTGCCGGGTGCTGGTGGCTCACACCTGTAATCCTAGCTACTCAGGAGGCTAAGATCTGAGGATTGCAGTTTAAAGCCAGCTTAGGCAGGAAAGTCTATGAGACTCTTATCTCCAATAAACCACTCAGAAAAACCAGAAGTGGCACTGCTGCTCAAGTGGTAGAGCGCTAGCCTTGAGCTGAAGAGCTAACAAACGGTGCCCAGGCCCAGAGTTCAAGCCCCAAGACTGACAAAAAAAACAAAACAAAACAAAATAAAAAAACAAGGAGGAACAAAGAGATTGAATAACTTCCCAAAAGTCACATATCCCAGCATGCAGAGCAGAGATTCAAATCCAGTCAAATCCATGTTTTTGGTCTTGTTTTGTTTTTGCAGTAATGGGTTTGAACTCAGGACCTCACACTGGTTAAGCATGTCCTCTACTGCATGTATACTATACTGCATGCAGCTACTGCTTTAAAAGGGGTCTTGAAAACTTTCCTGCCCAGACTGGTGTCAATGTGTGATCCTCCTAACCTCAGCTTCCAAGTAGATAGTACTAAAAAAATATAACCAACCAGTGCTTGGCTCAAATCTATGCTCTTACTCATTACACTACTGAATTATCCACATTGCAAATAACTTGTTAGTCCTTAATTACATTCAATTCTATAAACTGTAGAGGTTCATAAAGGTGCTTGAAATTCTTAGAGAAAATAGGCCAAACATGCCTAAGAGAATGGTGCTCATGCGTTCTCAATGGAATTTCAGATTAGGGCTCTAGATGCAGTTAGAAAGCCAGAGTCGAAGCACAAGTGTTCAGGGACCATTGAAACTGCTGTACACTTTAAACATCCACATTTACTATCAACTATAATTGCTCATGGTATGAATTTTGTCAGAAAATTGCAGGCCGTAGTTCTAAAATCAACTGGCCAATTTTAAAACTGTAGACCATCACAATAAGCAAATTCTTGAGCTACAGAAGGAAAACACACAACAATTAGGACAATTTAAATAAGCTTTACCTCTGCTAACCTGGTCCGAAGCTGACCTGGTTGTTTCTTTGCAAACAATCTGATGACCTCTGGAGTTTTAAAGGCCTGGCTGATAGCTGCCTGAATAGCCTAGACACACAGGAAGACAAAAACAAAAACATTCCAAAGAATCAGATTTGCAAAAACAGACTGATGAATCTTTTTCAATAAGTCTTTAGACATCAAACAACTGCAATATCAGTTTTCATTTGCTACTTCTGTGTATGCCACTGGGGCCAAATATATAACAAAATGAAGATTTGAAAGATACATATATCCTATTTCATGCACTAGGTAGACAATAATCAAGAAATTATATATATATATATATATATATATATATATATATATATAAAATAGTTCTTTCTTTTGCAGTGCTGGGAATGGAACACTGGGCCTTATACACACTAGGCAAGCACTCTACTGCTAAGCTATACCGTCAAAGCTACATTTTCTTTCACAGAAGACAAAAAAAAAATAACGAAAATGTGCTTACCAGCTGCATTCCACTTAGTTCATCTACCAAAGTCATATTTCCAGACATAATTTTCTTCAGGGAATCATTAAATTCACTTAGCTGCTCCAGAGTTTCCTTTTTGGTTTCTTCATATTCATCTGCATCAAGCTCTTCTCTGAAGTACAGTAAATACAATCATGCAGAAAAATAAAGATTTCCAAGTGAAAAAAAGCTATTTTAGTACTTACACATGAGAGAATGTCTTAAGAAAACATCATAATGCTAAAGACAGATGTGCCCAAATAGTTGTTAACACTTGGACGTAGTTCCTTTAGTATTACTTTTTTTCTCTCTTTTGTGCCAGTACTAGAGCTTGGACTCAGAGCCTGGTGCTGTCCCTAAGCTTCTTTTCGCTCAAGGCTAGCACTCTATCATTTGAGGCACAGCTCCACTTCCAGCTTTTTGGTGGTTAATTGGAGGTAAGAGTTTCACAAACTTTCCTGCCCAGACTGGCTTCCAACTATGATTCACAGATCTCAGCCTCTGAAGTAGTTAAGATTAACAGACATGACTGTTGATGATTGAACCAAGACCAGGAACAATAACACGAGTTCTTCCACTGAGTGAAACCATCAGTCCCTAGTCATTTTTCTTCTACCAAAATAAGGCACAGTAAAACCACACAATAGCTTTTCTTTAAACTCTCAGTGAATAACCTTGGGCAAGATACTGAACACAGCTAAGCCTCAGTTTATCTAAAAAGCTTTGGGTAATTATGGTACCTATTTAATAGGGTTGCTATGAGCACTAAATAAGATAAAAGAAAGTGCTTGGCACATATAGTAACAGGTAAATAGCTGTGGTTATTAACATCATCATTAATGGCAGGGAAGATTTTGTGTGTTCTCCAAAACAACAGCAATGCAGTACATGCCATCCGAGTAGGAGGTTATTTTTATTCACCAAGCAGGCCACTTATTAAATATTTACAAAGTTACAACAGCTGCTACTTAGTGATCGACCACTTACAGAGCACCTGTGCTGGGCCAAGCATAGTGTCCTCCACTTCATTTACAATATTTATACTCCAGAAAAGCTCTTAAATATGCAATAAACAATCTTGTTCTTTTTTTTTTTTTGGTGCCAGTCTTGGGGCTTGTACTCAGGACCTAGGTGCTGTTCCTGAGTCTCTGAGCTTTAATGTTCAAGGCTAGTCCTCTACCACCTGGTCCACAACTCCACTTATACAATTTTTTGATGCTTAATTGGAGATAAAAGTCTCATGGATTTTCCTTTCCAGGTTGGCTTGGAAACATGATCCTCAGATCTCAGCCTCTTGAATAAATAGGGTTACAGGAGTGAGCTACTGGCACCAGCAACTTCTTTTTATCTCAAGTGCTAGGGACTGAGCCCAAGCCTTAGCATGCTAAGCACCCATTCTTCTACTGAATTACACTCTTAGCCCAGTCTGTCTTTGAGTATACACCAAGAGTTCATACCAAGCATGGCTGTTTAAATATTAAAGACCAAATAGGTAGCTGGGCATCAGTGGCTCATACCTATAACCCTAGCTACTCAGAAGACTGAGATCTGAGGATTGCAATTCAAAACTAGCCCAAGCAGTAAAGTCATGAGACTCTTATTTCCAATTAAGCAACAAAAAAAGCCAGAAGCTGTGCCCCAAGTGGCAGAATGCTAGCCTTGAGTAAAAAAGCTCAGGGACAGAACCCCGGTGCTGAGTTCAAATCCCAGGACTGGCACAGACACATAAAGACAATGTAATGTTATTAATTCTACTTCAAGGAGGTTAAGCTTTTTGCCAAGTTCACATGCACTTAGTAATTACCTGAAAGACTTCCACATTCCAGGATTTATGACTCCAAAACCTGCACTAAATTTACACTTCTAATAGACAAAACACTGAAAAATACTACAGAGGAAAGCAAAATTACACCTGGGCCTGCGTCCATGGAACTTGTAATCTAGCGATAGAAAAAAAAGCATTTTATATCATAATAACACACAATTATACTATTACCTGCATTCTTCCAGATCTTGTAATTGCTGCATTAGTCTATCCAACTGTTCTTCTAAATTCTGCTTTAATTTGCTTGTCTCTGTCTTTCCTCTGGAAGCCATTTTAATCTCTGTAGAACAATAAGCCACATATAGGATATTAATTTGGTTATTTGAAAAGATTCAATGAATTAATGTAATTTTAAATTAAGTGAGTTTAGCTGGGTGCTGGTAGCTCACACCTGTAATCCTACCTATTCGGTAGGCTGAGATATGAAGATCATGATTTAAAGCCAGACAGAGCAGGAAAGTCCATGAGACTCTTATCTCTAATTAACCACCAGAAAACCAGAAATAGAGCTGTGGCTCAAAGTGGTAGAGCTCTATTCCTTGAGCAAAAGACTCAGAGATAGCACCCAGGCAATGAGTTCAAGCCCTATGATTGACAAAGAAAAAAAATTAAGTTTAACTTAAAGTTCTTTCTAAATTCCAGATATGGAAACGAGAGCTATTCAGATAAAGCCTCAGTTTGGATATAAAAGTTTAAACTCATTGCAGCAACACTCCACAGAAATGCCTTATAATTTCATTACAAGTCTTTGCTATTGATCCACATTAAATTTTAAATATGAACATATTGATTGTTTAAGACTGGGACTTGAATTTGGTATCTGAGATTTTTGCTCACTGGCTGGTGCTCTACCACTTCCAACCCAAATATACTTATTTATACAGAAATGGTCAGGGTGCTGGTGGAGTGGCTCTGGTGGTAGAGCGCCTGCCTAATAAGCGTGAGACACTAAGTTCAATCTCTAGTAATGTAAAAAAAAAAGTACATAGGAATTATTAAAATTTCCTGGTTTAGGGCTGGGAGCATAGTTCAATAGTAGAGTGACAGCTATGTGAAGTAAGCCTAAGGCTAGACTCAAAGAAACTTTTTTTTTTTTGTCATGGGGCCTGAACTCTGGCCTGGGCACTGTCCCTCAGCTCTTCAGCTCAAGGCTAGTGCTCTACCAGTTGAGTGCTCTACCAGTTGAGCCACAGCACCACTTCTGGCTTTTTCTGCTTATGTGGTGCTGAGGATTCAAACCCAGAGCCTCATGCATGAGGGGCAAGCACTCTACCACTGAGCAACCTTCCCAGCCCTACTCTCTTAGTCTAACCACACTGAATGTTCAAAACACATTGCACAATTTTTCTTCTTGTGTTGATGGAGACTGACCCCAGGACCTCCATGCTTGCCCAGCACACCTTCTACCATTACTCCCAGCATTTCATATCTCCCTCTCCCTCCCTCTCCTTCCCCCTCCCTCGTGTGTGCACACGTGCACATACACATATGCACTTTTTTTGTAAGACAGGGTCTCATTTTGTAGCCTAGGCTAGCCACAAATTCAAAATTTCCACTTTTCTGGGATTACACTCATGTATAATACCCTTCTCTTTTGAGCCTCCATCATTTTCTACCAACTAGTAGAAATTCTAATCCATCCAAAGTCTAGGTTCATGTGTCACCTTTCTCCATTTAGGACTTTAATTTTCTCTCAATCACATCACAAGGTGGTGCATTCTTTGAGAGGAAGGACTTTACCAATCCTGGGTAGAAAAAATGTATTGGGTAGACAAGTAATGAAAATTGTTTCTGTGTTGCATATTTTATTCTCAATTATCATCAATTTTTGCCATGGGTTGTGCAATTTTAAAAATTAATTTATTGAGGCTGGGGATGTGGCTTAAGTGATAGGGTGCTTGCATGAAGCCCTGAGTTTGATTCCTCAGTACCACATAAACAGAAAAAGCTGGAAGTGGCTCTGTGGCTCAAGTGGTAGAGTGCTAGCCTTGAGCAAAAGAAGTTCAGACAGTACCCAGGCCATGAATTCAAGCCCCAAGACTGGCCAAAAAAATAATAATATTTTATTGTAGCACTGAGGATAGAACCTATAGTCTTGCACATCTTACTGAACCACATGCTAGGTTTGTCCATGATTTTATCACAGTTCATTGTTTGTCTATGTTTCTCTCCTGATTAAGTTCTTGAGAGCTGAAATTTAGTTTAATTCTTCTGTTAGTCTCAACACTTAATACAAATATTTGAATGTGGATCAAGTACAAAAAGGCTCAATGATTTTAAAATCTATTTAAACAACAACAAAATGGCTGAAGAGGCTCTGAATTCAATATTCAATACAGCCAAAAACAATTATTTTTAAGGGTTAAAGACTGAACACAGGTCCTCATACTCATATGCTAATCAAGCACTCTCAATGATACACCACCTGTCCTTAACATATCTTAAAAGAGGCAAAGCTATCCTGAATAAATTACAGAGAAGATAGGGGCACTTTAAAAGCGGTCACCTGAAGATATCCTAGAAAGATTTAACTCGCTGGCACCACCTGGTATTGAATAAAGGCAGTGCACTTTTTTTTTTTTTTTTAAACTAAACTACAGAAATGGTTATCAAACCCTGTATGTACCTGGAAAGTCCTCATTCATGCTCACCTGTCTCCTAGTACATAGAATTCTGCAGTGCCGACAGCTCTCAATTGCATAAAACTCCAACCCTGGAAGTTCCAAGTGTGATCAGTTTGAGGAAAGCGAAGTTGTCCATCAGGACTACAAGAGGCTCGAAATTCAAGTCGCCTGGAGGTGAAAACTATTAACAAGCTGTTTTATTTGCTATAAACGGGCAGTCCAGCTTAGCTTGCACTTGAGCAGCCTGTAACTGGAACACACCCTTCAACTCTTTTTTATTTCTTTCCTTTTTTAAGTATTTTTTTTATTGTAAAGATACTATAAAGAGGGGTTACAGTTACCCTTCAATTCTTTAGGAGGACAAGGACGTTTACTCCCTGGACGGCTTCTCCGGCAGCCTTTTTGAGGTTTTTTTGTTTGTTTCCTTAACCGAGCCAGGAAGTGGACACGCCTTAAGAAACTGTCAAACTCAGAAGCCTCGTAAAGGGAAGGCGGAAAGCACACCTTTCCCTGCCTGGAGGTGAGCAGCGTTTGGTTTGTATCAGACCATCGGCACCGGGATAGGGCCCGGCTCCAGCCACCGCCTCCAAGCCCGTTCTCCGCCAGGGAACTTGAAGCTCGCGTATTTAGGTCGGGTTCAACTAGGCCTCAGTTGCCACTGGCGGTGGCCGGGAGCCCAACTCCCTCTAAATTCCTTTTGGTTTTCTCTCCTCAGAACCGGACCAACCTTCTCTAGACCCCAGGGTTCTCGGCCCGCCTCCCACCCGCCTGTAGCGCCCAGAGATTGGAACCAGGGACCCCGCCTACCTGAGATCTCTGGCCGGGCGGACCGAGCTGGAGGAGTACTTCCGCCGGACATAGGCACTTCCGGTTTCCAGTAACCAATGAGAATGCGAGCGCGGTGTTCCCCTCGCCCGCGTCCGGGTAGCGGCTAGCTCCTGGAGGACTGGGCCGTTTGGCAGTGAGAGCGTGGTAAGATCCCGGACCCGCCAGGACACCCGGGTTCTTCTGGACTTTGCCACCTTTTGTGTCCTAGACAACGGCTGGGAACTTCAGAGGCAATGCCACTGTCCCCGAAGCAAGGCGATCATGTTTAGGTCTTTCTGTGGAATCCAAAACCTCGGTCAGTTTCCCCCGTGACCTTTGCTACATTTGAATTCACTGGGGGCGGGGGGCAGAGGGAGGGTTGCTTCCCTTTCTAGAGGCGTCTTGAGCAGTAACTCTTGGGCTTGGCTGGGAGGTGGGGAGGGAGAAGCCCTCCATTGTGAAAAGTTGGTCCCTTCTCATCCTGACTACTTCTAAATCTGTGAAGCGCGCATTCAAAAGCCTTGAGGGGCATGGCTCAGTGGCACATCTACAAGTTGATCACTTGTTTACGATGCTTGAGGCCTTGGGTTTGATCTCCAGCTCCACAAACACAAGCACACCTGCCCAGGGTGTACTCAACACGCTCTCCAAGAAAGAGGCAACTAGTTGTTTGGCATCACTTTAACAGTTAACCAGAAGATGAGACCATCTTCCTGAAAAGGCAATGCAGGGTGGTCCACAGGACGTCCCGGGTGTCTGCAAGATAATTCGTGCAGAGATTTGGTCATTCAAGTTTGTATTTCAGCTACTCAGGACAATTGACCAACTTTGATTATCATAAAACTCTGCAGAATGAATTGTTCCTGCCGAGTTTTGCCTTATCACCAGTTGTTTTCCAGAGGTACAGTTTGATTAGGAAACCACATTCCTAGCCAGTGATAGCCCTACGTTGATAAATGTTTCAGATTCAGTGAAAGTGCCTCTTATGTTAATGCAGTTATTTTGAATTTTCATATATGAATATGTGTCAATGTTTTGGGTAAAATGCAACTCAGTGGTACTTCATGTAAAGAAACTTCCATCGCAGTGATAATAGAAATAAAAATGGGGGGGGGGGGCTGGGAAGATGGTTCAGTGGTAGAGTGCTTGCCTTGTATGATGAGGCCCTTGATTTGATTCCTTAGCATCACATAAGCCCGAAGTGGTGCTGTGGCTCAAGTGGTTGGGCACTAGCTTTGAGCTGAAGAGCTGAGGGGCAGCACCTAGGCCCAGAGTTCAGGCCCCACGACCAACAAAAAAATAAACAAAATAAATAAAACTGAGGGGAGAGAGAGTGAGCTTTTCAGGTATAAATTTAAATATAAATTTAATTCAGTTTAAATGTAAATTTAAATATAAATTGAAATTGAAAAGGAGAAAGCGTGTCAGGGGCAGACTGATGAATGGATTCTGTCATCTGACAGAGAAAAAGAACAGACCTTGGGTTGGAATATAGCTCAGTGATAAAGCACTTGCCTATGATGCATGGGGCCCTGGGTTTGATCTCCAGTGCCACAAAAACAAAGGTACTCAGGCATTTTATTGGGTTGCTGGAGTAGTCTGGGTGGTCTGACAATGACATTTGTAGTTTATTCCTTGTGTTTCAAGAAATTTTTTTCTCGCATAAGATATGGATCTGTAGCCACTTTGTCTTTGGAGATGAAACTATGGTGCAACCCTCTACCTAGAGTAAGTAGTGGGATATACCAAGTCCATGTGGCCCCCAGTTGTTATCCTAGCTATTCAAGAAACTGAGATCTGAGAATCGCAGTTCAAAGCCATCCGGGACAGGAAAGTCAGTGAGACCTTATCTCAAATTAACCAGCAAAAAACCAGAAGTAGAGCGGTGGTTCAAGTGGTAGAGCCACCAGCTTTGAGTGAAATATTTAAGGAACAGTGCCCATGATCTGAGTTCAAGCCCAAGTACCAGGACAAAAATAAAAGCGATGGGCAGGTTCTGGAGCTCTAATTTATAACCTCTTACCTACTACTAAGTAAAGCACATCTCCTCACTCTCGGTCAACAATATATGGAATATGCTCTCTCCCTTATCCTTCTACTGTGTGTATGTACATATGCATGCGCGTGCCCTCACACATATATACACATGCACTTGCAGCCATGCTGAGGCTTGAACTCACAGCCTTGGCACTGTTCCTTCACTTTTTCACTCAAGACTGGTGCTGTGCCACTTCAGCCACAGTTCTACTTCTGCCTTTTTGGTGCTTAGTTGGACATAAAAGTCTCACAGACTTTTCTGCCTGGACTAGCTTTGAACTGGGATCATCAATGGCTAGGATTACAGGCTGTGAGGTCTGTCCATTTCTTCTTCTCATGAGAATCCTTGTTCTACCTCAACAGTGACAAACAGGATTAATATAAACAACACCAACCCCCCCCCCAATGAGAAAATATACATGCTTTTTAACCACTTAGGAGAATTTTCTAAATAAGTGCTTGCTCACGATGTACTTCCCGTAGTTTGATGATTGATAGACTATTATTTTCAGACATTTATGCTGGTTTAATGTGTGTTATCTTAGAAAATGTAAAGGAAAAGCCTTGCCATTTGTGCATCGTCAGTGCCTGCTCTTCTTCAGTAACAATCTTCTTCGCAGTTCTGTGCTAAGAATGTTCTTATGTGCCTTTGGGTTCTTAATAAGTGATGATAACATATTCGTAGGACATAAGTAGAAGAGATTGGTGCGGGTTCCATCTATGTAACAAAAATAGAACCCAAGCCTTCAGATGGGATGCAGAAAAGAAATTGGAGAAAGAAGAATGGTATGTTAAGTTGGTAGTCACTGGAGACAAGACGAAGGAAAGTAACTTCAGAACTGAGAATCCTAACTGGGAAACCAGATAACTGCTACTGGACAGCTGAAGGAGTTTAGAACATTTCATCTTGGACTTGGCATGGGAGCTGAGATAGGGAAAGTGCTGAGGCAGATGAAACTTGAGTGACGACTCTGAACACTTGGACCTTTCATTATTTATTTATCCAGTGCTGGGGATTGAACCCAGGGCCTCTTGCATGCGAGGCTAATGTACAATTGGCCTATGCCCTCAGCTGAACTTCTTTTAAATGTCTACCAGCAGATGGCTTGTGCCATTGTTGCACCAATCACGTATGATAGAGGAAAGCATGCATTTCTAGGATCAACATCCTCTGAGCAAGTTAACCTTCTGTTTCCTTGTCGATATGAAGGTATGTGTGTAATAATCATTGGATATATCATAAGGCTTCTATGAATGTTTATAGATTGATGTGTCAAGTAAATATTCTTCCTTAACTGTAATATCTCATGAGAGATAGCATTCTGTATCTTGGACTTGTTTTTTTCTTTTTTTTTGTGGTCATGGGGCTTGAACTCTGGGCCTGGGCGCTGTCCCTCAGCTCTTCAGCTTAAGGCTAGCGCTCTACCACTTGAGCCACAGCGCCCTTCCAATTTTCTGGTGGTTAATTGGAGATAAGAGTCTCACAGACTTTCTTGCCCGGGCTGGCTTTGAACCGCAATTCTCAGATCTCAGCCTCCTAAGTAGCTAGGATTACAGGCGTGAGCCACCGGCAACCGTCTTGCTTTTATCTTTTCTTTTCTTTCCTTCCTTCCTTGTTTGCTTTTCTTTCCTTCCTTCCTTCCTTCCTTCCTTCCTTCCTTCCTTTCTTTTTCTTCCTTTCTTTCTTTCTTTCCTCCTTTCTTTCTTTCTTTCTTTCTTTCTTTCTTTCTTTCTTTCTTTCTTTCTTTCTTTCTTTCTTTCTTTCTTTCTTTCTTTCTTTCTTTCTTTCTTTCTTTCTTCCTTTCTTTCTTTCTTTCTTTCTTTTTCTGAGACCAGTTCTCACTTGTTGCCTGGGCTGGCTGCAGAGTCATGATTCTCCTCCCTCAGGCTCCTGAAACTGGCAGCAACTTTGGTCTTGAATTTCCAGTCTCTAGCAATGCAATAAAATGAGTTTGTGTTTTTGTTGTTGTTGAGCCCCCAGTGCTGCAGTGCTTAGAGGTGGGGCTTTGAAGAGGTATTTGGATGATGAGAGTTCTAACCTCATCCCTGAATTAACCATTGATAAATTAATAAGCTTTGAGGGGAGACTTTTGGAGGCTGGCCTAGTTGGAGGAAGTAGGTTACTGTGGTCAGATTGTTGAAGATAAGTAACTTTCGTTACCACATGCTTCTGCTATAATGTTCTATCTCAATATAGTCCAGAAACAAAAGAGAAAGTGACTATAGCCTGAAACCTTTGAAACCATAAACCAAAAAAACCCTTTCATTCCTTAAGTTGATTTCTCTCAGTAATTAAATCAGTTTCAGAAAGCTGTGTGTGTGTGTGTGTGTGTGTGTGTGTGTGTGTGTGTGTGTGTGTGTGTGTGTGTGTGTGTGTGTGTGTGTTTACTGGTCTGGGGCTTGAACTCAGGGCCTGGATGCTGTCCTTTAGCTTTTTTTTGCTCAAGGCTGGTACTCTACCACTTAGCCTCAGCTCTACTTCCAAATTTGTTTGTTGTTGTGGGGTTTTTTGGTGATTACTTAGAGATAAAAATCTCACAGACTTGCTGGACGCAGGTGGCTCATGCCTGTAATCCTAGCTACTGAGGAGTCTGAGATCTGAGGATCATGGTTCAAAGCCAGCCCAGGCAGAAAAGTCCGTGAGACTCTTATCTCCAATAAACCACTAAAAACTAGAAGTGGTTCTGTGGCTCGAGCAGTAGAACGCTCGCCTTGAGCTGAAGAACGCAGGGACAGCACTCAAGCCCAGAGTTCAAGCCCCAGGACTGACCAAAAAAAAAAAAAGAGTCTCACTTTTATGCCCAGGCTAACTTCCAACCACAATCCTCAGATCTCAGCTTCCTCATAGCTAGGATTACAAGCACGAATCACCAGTGGCAGTCTCTAGTACTTACTTTTATAGCACTTTACCAACTACTACTAACTTTCTTGGGTTAAAAATAAGATTAGGCCTGGGAAGGTGGCTCAATGGTAGAGTGCTTCCCTTGCATGCATAAGGCCCTGGTTCAATTCCTCAGCACCACATAAGCAGAAAAAGCCAGAAGTGGTGCTGTGGCTCAAGTGGTAGGGCACTAGCCTTGAGCTGAAGAGCTGAGGGACAGAGCCCAGTCCCTGAGTTCAGGCCCCATGACAGACAAAAAAAAAAAAGAGGATTGGGATTAGGGGGGGAGGGGAGAGGCTGGGAAGGGATGTGAAGGGTAAACAAAGGAGGAGGCTGCAATGCTTGGTAAGAAATGTACGCATTATCCTGCCCATGTAACTGTAACTCCTCTGTACAGT